CACGCGCTCCAGTACCCTCAGGACCCTGCGCACCAACGGCCCTGGGCTGCCGAGGGGCCCTGGAGGCCACCGGGCAGGTCCCAGCGTCCAGGACAGGGGAAGAGTGGTCACCCTGGAGAGGTAGGAGACGGCTTCCTGGACACTTGAGCAGCCGGCCAGACAGACCAGGGCGGAGGGAGGAAGGGTACAGACCCCGTGGAGGGGGGCCCAGGAGGCTCCCTGGGAGGGGGCCCTTGTTTTAGCACTAGAGCAGACATGACCCAGGAGAGGCCGGACAAGTGCCCAGAGGTGCCTACTTCTGCAGAGCTGTTTCCCTGTGGCATCTCCAGGAAAGAAAGCTACTAGCCAGAAGCAGGCCCAGGAAGAGGCAGGTGTGGACACACAGAGCCACGTGAGCATCTGGCCCTCTAGGAGCAAAGACAGCTTCAGCCACTCCCAGAGGTGGTCTGGCCCTGACTGGAAAGCTTGCTGCTGGGTTCAGTGAGCAGGAGCCCAGAAGTCATGTCTCCCTGGGCCACCAGTACTTTCCTCCCCATGGCTCTGTGGGACCGGTAGCACAATGAGACATGGCCCTTGGGAATCCAGTACCCAGAGTGGCCAGCGGTCTACCTCAGACTGCACTGAAAGGCTACAGAAAGCTTGGGTCTCCCCTATAGCCTCGCTAGTTCAGACATCTCCTGTCCCCCCTCCCAACAGCTCAGAGTACCCCTTGCATTCTGGGCTCTTTGCTGAGTGAGACCACCAAAAGGCTCCAAGACCCATATCATGTGCAGCTAGACCCTTGTCTCCAGTCTCTGGAAAATCTTGTCCTTCAGGACAACTTTGGAGTAGCATCAGCACTCTGGGCTCCATCCATGCCTCCTGAATCCAGCCCTTATAACCACCTCTAAGACATCTCACAGCAGATGCTGCTGGGTCTACAAAGAAGACGCAACTTGTTTAGGGTCTGCAATAAGTCACTAATGGAATCAGGATCACAGGCATGCAGGGAAGAAGAGAAGAAGTGCCTGAAAAAGACACCAACCTTGACCAGACCCATCTGCCCTAAAGCACGTGGCCAGAAGCATCTGTAGAGGCCCAGGCCAACCACCTATAAGGACAAGGTCAACCCAGTTCTTTCAAGTAGCCTGTCCAAGACAGGTGGACAGCAAATCCTGTTTGGGTCCAGTGGACATCACCTTGCAAGTCTGAAGGCAAAAGAGCACAGTGCCTGCACCTCACTTGGGAGGTCAGGAAGGATTGATAGGGTGACCCAGGAGCATTTGCTGCTTCACAACCTCAGTCACCACCTATCACCTGAAGCAACAAAACTGTGCCTCAAGTGTACACTCCCCAGGGTACCCTCCAACAGACCACAGGGTCATGCCACTTCTGTCTGGACCCATCTTTCAACAACACTGAGTGCAATGGAAGAAAGCCACCAGGCACAGGAGCCCTGGGAGGGCTGGTAGCTGGTCAATCTCTGGCCTCGCATCCAGAAGCCTCTGAAAAGGGAGGTGGTTCATTCAGACGAAGCCATTGCCTGGGGCCAGCATTATAGCTTTCTGTTGGGAAAGTGGGCAGTACAGACAATGGATGTGTGTGTAGTGGTGGCTGGAAGTTCAGGCCCTGAGACACCAGCCAGAATGGGTCTGTACTGCAGACTCTGGCAGAGCTTTGCCCCAGATGAGGCTCTCTGCCCCAGGACCCACCTTGAGTACAGAAGAGGCCAGCTTGCCATGGGGCTCAGAGCCCCATGGAGGTAGCAGGGTCTTCTCCTGACTATCACACAGACCAGCTGTGCCAGGGCTGCCTGCCCACTGACATCAGTCACTGTGACTTCTCCCCCATGCCCATAGCTCTGAGTCTGAGTCTGTCTGCTACTCTGGGCCTTGATATCATCAGATATCATGTCTATCATCAGCTATCATGTGTATATCTACCCATAACCCAGCAGGGACCACTGCACTCCATGGTTCGATGTGAACACATGCAACTGCTTCTCCTCCCTGTGGGAATCTCAGGCATCCTCTTCTTGCCCCGGTCTTGTGTCTTGCTCTCTCTGGCACACAAACCCCACTGATCTGTGCCCAGCATTACCAGCACAGGCTTCTTACTCCACCCCTGTCCTCTGAGCAATTCAAGAGCTGAGAATGATAGACAAGCTACTCTGACCTACATCACAGGGCCTTGTAATTCTACTCAATGTCCTTAAAGAGGCACGTACAGGAGCCGCCCCCATGATGTCCAGGCCCCAGTGTATAGGTGCAAACCTAGCCATGTGAGACAGAACATCTCACCCATGTGACTCAAGCCCTATGGACAACTACAGGGCTCAGAAAATCTCAAAGGTCTGTGGTCATGCTGTGAGTTCTCTGCATGGAGCCAGCCAGCCAACTATGGCTGCTAACAGTGTAGAAGCAGCGCTGATGTGCACCAACCCACACTGGCATCCATGCCTCATCTCTACCACGTGGGTGAGGTGGTCAGGACCCAACATGCGTTCTCACCATGTAAGCTAGCAGCAGCAGCCAGTGCTGGCGGGAAGACTGAGCTAGCTCTGTGCTCCTGCTGAGGAGGTGCATGAGGCAGGCAAGGACAACAGAAAGGGACATCTAGCTATGCCACCAGAGGGCTCCACTGCACTTGACCGCCTCAGTGACCATTCCTTGAGGGCCAAGGCCCATCCTCCAGGGAAGATTCCTGGGGACAAGCCACCCCAAAGCACATCTCCAGAAGGAGGTGCTCAGGGGAGACCATGACCCTCCTGGCTTATGTACCACAAGTTCTAGCAGCTCTGCTCATGCTAGGAAAACCATGGACATGTTCCTCTCAAGTAAGAGAGGCTAGGAAGAACCCCTGAATGTCCCCTGAGAACTCTCTCTGCCTTCCCCATCCACAAGGCCCTGGCTGCACAGGAACCACAGGAGGCCTGAGCCCAGAGCACCCTGCCCACCCAGAGAAGCAGATGCATCTGACACACGAATGACTTCACATAACAGAGCAGGCAAGTGGACAGAGACCAGGATAGGGAGGCGGAATGCTGAGCTCAGAAAGAGCTGGGCCTGTGAGCAGGCTTTGGTGTGCCCACCATCCCCAGCCCAGGCCAGAGAGGCCTGGGGCCACCCATGAAGCGAATGACTCAGGTGGGAGAGCAGTTAGGAGTGGAGGGGAGGTGTGTGCATATAGCCATTATGGAGCCACGGATGGAAATCATAGCAGAGTGACTCACGGTGAGTTTACGCTGGAGACAGATGAGCTGCGAGATACAGTACCTCGAGTTTGCTTTACAAAACTGCACATGCAAGAAACAAAACATAAATAAGAGTGAGAAAACCAGAGGGGGACTTCTAAGAGACATTAGTGACACTCAGACACCATGTCAGTGTGGGCATAGGCTGCAGTGCACCTCTGTCAGATCGGCACTGGCCAAGACTCTGGGGCAAAAGATAAGGTAAGAACCAGTTCCTTATGCATAGAAAAGTGAGTGAATCCAACTCCACACTGGCTGGAAGATGAGACAATTCTCTCAGGTGCCATCCATAGTCTCAGCTCAGGTCACACTGCTTAGAGAGGGAGCAGAATTGGGAAGACCCTAAGCTAGACTTTCTGCAATTCCAACAGCTCCCCCCACCCCACCCCCAGTCCCTGGGCAGGCTGGACTTTGGTCCCTGGCCTCGGAATGCACACAGCAAGTACAGGAAACAACAGTGCCCTTACCTACCGTGCTGGCTAGTGTCCCGCCACCTACCCCACCTGTCTTCCTGTGAGCACCTGACCCCAGCTCCCAGGCTCAAGTCCCACTACTTCTGGCACATCCTTCAAGAGCAAATCTGGTTCCACCTTCCCTCTGGGTGAACCTCAGACATTCCCAAGTGACTGCACAGCAACCTTTTCCAGCACAACAAAGAAAAGCCAAAACTCTTTACAGCCATTTTCTTTTCATATTGGTTTCACGAGGAGAGCCAAGTGGTTTCCAGTGCCCTCTTCACAAAGCTGAGGGGGTCTCTGCACAACTGTAAAGAGTTCAGAGCAGCTCAGAGTCCCATAAGCCCCACTATACACAGATATGTGTGAGAATGTGGGTGATGTCAGATGAGTGTGTGTTAACATGTGATGTGTTATATATGGCTGTGAGTGTATTTAAAAGAATTTCTGAGAGATTGTGTGTGACTGAGACTGAGTGTAAGAGTATGTGAATATGTGAGATCACAGGTGAGCACACAACTGTGTGACTGTGAGATTGTGTCTGGTGGTGAATAGTGAGGTTATATATGAATGTATGGGTGTGACTGTATGTGGTATGTAAATGTGACTGTGAGATTGTGTCTGTGATGGCGAGTAGTGAGGTTATATATGAATGTATGGGTGTGACTGTCTGTGGTATGTAGATGTGACTGTGAGATTGTGTCTGTGATGGTGAGTAGTGAGGTTATATATGAATGTATGTGTGTGACTTTATGTGGATGTGTGGATGTATATAAGGATGCATGAAAAGCTGTGTGCAAGATTGTGAATACATGTGAATGTATGGGTATGTGTGAGAGACTGAGTGTAAAACTGTAACTCTGGAAAGGAATGTGAGATTGTGAGTGTGAGAATGAGTGAGTATGGATTAAGGATATAAGGTTGGAAGTGAGCGTAAGATTGTGTGAGACTGCAAGCGTAAGAGTGTGTTTACGTAAGATTTGACTGAGAGCTGGATGCTGATGGCTTATGCCTCTAATCCTAGTTCCTCAGGAGGCTGAGATCTGAGGATCGCAGTTCAAAGCCAGTCCAGGCAGGAAAGTCCATGAAACTCTTATTTCCAATAAACTACTCAGAAAAATGCCAAAAGTGGTGCTGTGGCTCAAGTGGTAGAGTGCTCATCTTGAGCATAAATAGGTTCAGGGTCAGCACCCCAGCCCTGACTTCAAGCCCCAGGACCAGCAAAAGAAAAGAAAAGATTTAAGTAAGAATGAGACTGGCCGAGTGTCAGTGGCTCACACCTGTAATCCTAGCTACTCAGAAGACTGAGAACTGAGGATCCCAGTTCAAAGCCAGCCCAGGCAGGAAAGTCTGTGAGACTCTTATCTCCAATAAAACACTAGAAAACTGAAGTGGCGCTGTGACTCAAGTGGTAGAGTGCTAGCCTTGAGCTGAAGAGTGCAGGGACAGCGTCTAGGCCCAGAGTTCAAGCCTCACGACCAACAAAAAAACAAAAATAAAAACAAAAAAACAATGAGACTATGGCTGTGTGAGATAGTATTAGATTGTCTATGATTTTGTGCTGGCATTCAAAAGCCAGAGTAAGGACAAGAATGCCACAACAGACAGAAGTAGGAAGATGGCACTGGGCTTAGTGTTTCCACTCCCAAACCCTGAAGGAACGGCTGGGGTGGGTAGCACACAGCTATCCACTGCAGAGTGCCAACACTGTTATGCTGTCCAGAGCACCAAGGGCCTCGAACATCATGGACAACGAGGGTCTGCTCAGCATTTGAGGTCCTGCACTACATCCTGGGAGAGCTTGCACGGTGCCATGGTGGCACAGCTATGGGGACCAGGGCCAGGGCTCTAGGGTGGAAGGCAGTGTTCTCCTCAGCCCATAACACAGGCCACAGAAATGAACATCTAGACAGCTGTCAGCCCTCAAAGGTCTCAGCACAACCACAACAAGCAGACGGAGCAGTGGCCTGACATCACACAAGCGTCACCCCATGTGGGGCTCCTCCCTTCCTCCTAGGAGGGCGGCTCCGTGGGCAAACCACACCAATACCAAGTATATTACATAGAACAGAGACCCACAGCTGCACCCCACGGGCAGAGCCTGCATGGCCCTCACCGATCAGAGAGGGCACTGGCACTAGTCATGTGAGGGCAAAGGCTAACCCAGGCCACTGCCCTTCCTGAGTATAACAACTATGACAGTGGCTCTAGAGTGGACCTGTATGCAGTAGAACATCTATAGGAGAAAACAAGCACGTTCCCCACCTAGAAACCACCCTAGTGCTCAGGTTAGCATCCAGTGCCAAGTACCACTGTGCCCAAGGCTCCTCCACCTGCAACAAGGTCTCCACACAGGACCGCAGTGGTACAGGACCACGGCAGTGGGGTTGTAGTGCCTGGACCTCATTTTTCAGTGGTCTGACAGTCTCTTGGGCTGTGCCAAAGAACCTAACATCCTCTTGTCTGAGGCCTCAGCTCAAATGGAGTGGATACACTCCTGCACATCCTCAGGAGTGGCAGCCCTGGAGGCAACAAAGGCCAAGGGAAAAAGCTCGTCTCCTGGATCAGCAGAAAAGCCAAGTGCTAAAGAGAGAAACTACAGATCCATGTGAGGCAGAACAAGCCAAATGCTCACCTACAACCTTCTCTGCAAGAGACTAACACAAGTTTTCAGAGCTTATGTGAGGAACAGGAGAGGGGCATCTGCCAGGTCACAGCAACCTCAGGACCAAGCTACTGAAGTATATTGACCAACTGCCAGACAATGGAACAACAGGATTGAGTGCTGAGCCTCCAGCAGAGGCTGAGGCTGCCACATCCCTGGCCTGCCTGGCTCCCTCCCCAGGGCTGCAATCACTGACAGCTGATTCTTCCCAGGCCAGCGCTTTCTGCTTGGTTTAGATCCTCTGCAAATGCCATCTCTCTGGATATCTCCAGGCAGAAACAAGGCCACTACATACACCCCCCCACACACACTTATGTGCCATGCACACAACCCATCAACTCATGCATGCCTCACACACTCATCCATGTGCCAAGGCACACACTTAGCAGAGACAGTATATGCCAGCCTTGTGAACCTCTGGCTGGGCCTGGCACCATCAGCTGCAGAGCCTAGCCTGTAGCAGCAGCTTGGGTAAAACATATGTTAGCACAGGCATGAGGCTGCAAAGCTGGCAGCCCAAGGTACACTTCTGCTCTCACAGTGCCCACTGACCAAGCCTTGTACTAAACTGTTCTTCCTCTTCAGAGCTAACATCTCTTAATGTCCTTTACCATACACACAAGCTTCAACACTGTGCCCGAGGCCCAGCTGGATGGGAGGGCTGCCCTAAACCTACCCTTCCTTTCTCATCACTTGAAAAGATGTTTCTGGAAGAAATATGAAGTTTTCTGGGTGGCTAAGGTGCCATCCAGAAGATGTTTTGGTTCACAGGACGTGGTTTTGAAGCTGTATATAAAACCAGTGTGCTGACTGCTCACAAATGACTCCTGGGTTTCACCTGGAGAGGGGCTCTGGAGCTGTCCTGTGACCATCCGGGGACCAGTACGATGACCCAGCCAATCTCATCCAATATGGAGCTGCACTTGGCATCCCCTGCCCACACACAGGTGGGAGAAAGCTACAGATCCTGTCTGGATGAACCTTTCTCTCCAGCTCCTCTTGACACAGTTCCAGAGGAAGTCTATTTCATCAAAAGCCCTGGCCAAGACAAAGGTGCTGAGGAGGCCTCTGGAGGGCCCTGGTGTAGCCAGCCAGAGACCCTGCTGCTGCCCATGCCACCCTCAGGCTCTGCCCCAGGGCCTTACGCAGCAATGGAAATGTTGGCAGCAGACATGGGACTGACTTCAGCCACTTCTTTGGCCTTCTGTAGAGCAAGCTTCTGATTGGCAGCTTCTTCCATCTCTTCTTCATCCTGTTTGAAACAGAAGTATCTGTCACCACAGCGTGCTGCAGTCACTCTTAGCTCTTCTTCCTAAAGCCTCTGCCTCTCCTGCCCTTGCACTGTGGGGCAGGGAAGCCAATCCCTGGGGGACATGGCCAACTGGGGCCCACCGCACAAGGTCTCTGGCTCCCTTCAGTGACTTGACTTCCATGTCTGTGACACAAAGGTGACAGTCCCCAAGTGTCATGTTTCAGTACTCTCAAACATGTGCCTGTGTCTGTATACTGATTGTATTCCTGAGAGCCAGCCCAATGCAAACTGGATGCGTGGACATTTCTGCCTCTTTATATTATGTACTTCACATTTACTCAAAAGCAAATCTGTATCTCCTCCCACCCCTCAGCTCTCTTGGAGTACTTTGTGCAGGAGGGGACCGTTGCACCCTATCGCTGTACTGACCCAGGAGGACCCAGATATGCCACCAGGCATTTCCCAGTGGGATCATATGCTGCCTTCAAGCTCTTCTGCAGGACCCCACCAGAGGGCAACCACCCACCCATGCCCAGCAGCAGCTGTGAAGTTCCACATGGCTGTCTGCCAACAGGATGAGATATGTGTGTGTATAAACACACACACACACACAATTCATGTGCATATGTGTAGACACCTATCCAGGAAGAGGAACAGATATAAAGACAGACCCAAGCAGCCCCAGGTCACTAAGCAAAACTAGCAAGCTGTGCTCTGGGGCTCGGGATCCATCGCTTCATGAAGTACACAGCCACAGAAGGAAACAAAGACACACGCGACAGAGACAGCAGCAGGACAGCACTCGGGCGGTTTAGTGCTGAAGTGCAGAGGACGCGCACAGTGTAGCGCAGCACATCACTGCCAGGTGGCAGCACTCTCCACGCTAGAGCCAGGGCTCAGTCACAGCGCAAGCCTGGGGGGGTGCCATGGCAGTGCAGCATCCCAGGGCTCAGATGAGAGTGGCCGGTGGGGAGCTGTGTCCCCTGGAGGGAAACCACAGAGGGAGATGTGTATAACTGAACCACCCACTGCGCTCAGGAGTGAAAGATAAATACTAAATGGTCCCTGCCACGTTCTGCGAGAAGTCGCTGTCCTGCTGTGGCGCGGGTGTGTGGAGGCGGGGACACAGGCTGCTCCTCAGGCTCCAGCAAGCCTTGCACCTGAGCACAGCACAGCACAGCATCCCTTCCCACTGTCCTTTCAGAGTCGCACAACTCCAGGGCTCACCTGTGTGGGGACCCTGCATGCATCACGTGCCTACGGTGACCGGCGTACCATGGAGCCCCTTGCCCCTGTTGCTGGGGGAGCTCTACCTAGTCTGTGCTCTCTCTAGTAGTGCCAGCACGTGCTGCTTCCCACACCCCACCCTGCTGTCCAGCCAAAACCTCCCTGGGAGCCTCATCCACATGTGGGTCTGCAGACGTGGCCACATCTTGTGGGCTTCTGCAGATACAACCCCCCTATATCCTGAGCCCAGATTAACCTCTGCTTGCTCAGGACTTTGAGGAGACTGCCCTGGACAGTGTTCATATGGATCATAAGCCAGGAGCTGGCCTTCTCTACGACCCTGCAACTTCATTTAGCATGACCTGGACTGTCCCCTCATCCTTCCTGGTACCCAGGTTTAAGTGATATTCTTACCTACCTTGGTTAACTCCTGAGCGTTAGCTAGGTTGTCCACAGCGATGGCCAGAAAGACATTTAGCAGGGTGTCTGGTCGGTTCCAGCTAAGGAAAGGGTCCTTGACCGTAACTGTTCCACACTGTCATACAAAGCTGCCCATGGGAGACAGAGGCCCCATCTCCCTAGATTAGTTTTCACTCTCCTTCCCTTCCTAGGCACCACTGTAGGCCCAGATATACCCCGGCCACTCAGGGGCATGGTGGTCTCTGTCCTCAACAGTCCCTCAGTCTAATCAATCAATTCTGTCGCAGCCCAACCTCGCCTAATGAACATGTAGACCCTTGGGTCAATTTGTTGCCTCCTAAAGAGGGCACTGATCTCCACCCCAATCTCTCCCATGCTATGGCCAGCACAAGAAGCCTTGAAACAAACATCTTTTGCTTTCATAGGCCCCAGATGAGATCCACCACCTTTTAGAGCTGGTGAACAGAGCCTAACAAAACTGGAGACAAACACACAAAATCCAGCCATCACCCAGGCCGCAGCTCCAAGGCTAGGCTCAAAGACACCTCCGTATCTTTCCTGCTCCTTTCCTTTCACTTCTTGTCCTGAGCACCCCTTCCTCACGGTGTCCTGAACACGTCCTGAGGTGTGAGCAGGGTATGCAAAGTGGTCTCAGTGTCCCCGGGGAACACATCCTGAGGTGTAAGCAGAGTATGCACAGTGGTCTCAGTGTCCCCTGTGAACAGGTGTGAGCAGGACATACACAGTGGTCTCAGTGTCCGGTCCTGCACCCTCTCCTGATCCCAGTGATCTCTGCACTGCTTTAGAAAGGGGGAAGCCAGCCAGGCACAGGTGGCTCACACCTGTAATCCTAACTGCTCAGGAAGCTGAGATCTGAGGATTGGTGGTTGAAAGCCAGCCAGGGCAGGAAAGTCAGTGAGACTATATCTCTAATTGACCCCCAGAAACCAGAAGTGGAGTTGTGACCTAAAGTTGTAGAATGCTAACCTTGTACAAACAGCTCAGAGACTGGGCCCAGGCTCCTATTAAAAATATAAAAGAAGCCACAACCACAAAAAGTCAGACTGTTGGCCCTCATAAAGGTCAGGCCCCACGATTCTCCCTTCTAAGCTCTACTTGGCTCCAATCATCTTTCCATGACAACTCCCCTGGGGTCCTGCCTATAGGCTTCGAGGCCTACCCAGGCCTCTCAGACCCACCCTCCAGAGCCCTGTAGATATGCCTGCTTCTGCCACCGGCTCTGAAGCAGAGCCCCTGCCATCCTCTGCAAGAGCTTTGTTCTGCAGCTCTTTCAGAGCTTTATTTTCAGCAGGGGAGAAATTTTTTTCAGTACTCAGTGCTGAAACTTACTCAGTTCAGTCTAATTTAAATGAAAACCTGCCAGGCGCCATTGGCTTATACCTGTAATCCTAGCTATTCAGGACGCTGAGGTCTGCAGATTGTGGTTCAAAGCCAGCCCAGGCAGAAAAGTTTATGAGATTCTTACATCAAATTAACCAGAAAAAAAAAAGCACTGGAGGTGGCTCAAGTGGTAAAGTGCTAGTCTTAAGAAAAACACTCAAGGACAGTGCCCAGGCCCCAAGTTCAAGACCCAGGATTGGTGTACACACACATACACACACACACACACACACACACACACACACACGGAAAACCTGCTGCCCTGTGTAAGCCCCCACATTTCTGCAAGGTCCCCAAGACTTCTCAGATCCTAGAACCAATTTGGCCCGTCCAACTCTACCTCTAGATACACCCACAAACAGCACTGCCAGACCTGGTGCCCAAAATACCTCAAGGACATCTGGGACAAGGTACAACTGACATTATCTTCCTAGAGGAGGCTGTGAAAAAGCATGGCATACACTCAGATCCAAAAAGGATACAGTTTCCAAACAGCGTCAGAACAATGAAGTAAAAGGAGGAGAACATGCCTTTGCTGACTCCACCTTGCGACTCGATCCCATGATACATCACCGCATTCCAGTCCTCTCCAGTCAGGATCTGTGGGAGGAGAGAACAGAACAGGGCATAGCTGCATCATGCCCGAAGGCACCACACACATTCACTGGGATGTACCAGGACACATCCACATTAGCACACACACACACACACACACACACACACACACACCTCATGACTATAACCTGAGTCAGGTTATAAATGACAAACATGTTCTAGGTTTTCAGCAAAACCAAAAAAGGAGTTCTAAAAGGAGAACTGAGAACTGGCCAGAAAGATGGTGGGCACAGGCATCTGAACCTGGCTGTGGCAGAGCATCTCCAAGGACTGAGCTGATTGTAACAGTTTCGACACTGAGGAAACCAAGAGTCAGAAAAGGGAACCAGCAGCTCCAGACCACAGCAGAGAAGTTGGACCTTCCAATACCCAGCTTCCTGCCACCTTAGCCAAGTAAGTCCACCCTCACAGCTAGGTCAAATCCAGTCCTCATCCATCAGTAAAGCTGTATCTCCTGACTGTTTAAGTACAAGAGGATAAAATAACACTCATCATGTCCACTATCTAAAATGGAACCTGCTAACATTTTCACCAACTGCCACAGCCAAACCCTACAAGCAAGCCCAATGATGGACCCAAGTTTTTATTGGTTATACAATCCATCTGGGTTTTTTGGCTGCTATTTCTTTTGTTGTTGTTGTTGTTGGGGAGGGGGGTGGTTTGGGGATTTTTTTTAATGATAGGATTAGGACTTGAACTCAGGGCCTCATGTTCTCACATGGCTTTTTTGCTCGAAGCTGGTACTCTACCACTTGAGCCAAATCTCCATTTCTGGCTTTCTACTAGTTAATTGGAGATAAGTCTCAAAGATTTTCCTACCCAGTCTGGCTTTGTTAACTGTGATCTTCAAATATCAGCCTCCTGAGTCACTAAAATTACAGGTGTGAAGTACTGTGCTCAGCTCCACTAAACATGTACAAACAGAATTTAGCATGTGTGCTAGGCATGCACAGGAAGGCATCAGAACACACATCATTCCTCGCCTTGTTTTCACTCAGTACCATAGCTTCAGTTTATTTTGTTAATACATGATAACATCTTCAGTTCCCAGTCTGATAAGGTATGAGCTCTCTCCCTACCCTTTCTTTCTGTCCTTGGTGCACGTTTCTGTTGGCACATCTTCTTTCCTACTGGCCTGTGAGATCTCCTTGCACACTCGGCACTATTGAAAATACCTCCCTTTATTATTGGCATTGTAAAGAAGCCTAATGCAGTCAAGTGCATCATTCTCTTCCTTTATAGTTTCTGCCTTCCCATACTTCAACAAATTCAATTCTACCCCAATGTCATAAAGTTATTTTCCTTGAAGAGCTTTCAAGTACAATTTCTTTCACACCTAGGTTTCTAAGCCAGAGAAGTTCTGTGTGTTATTTATGGGGATTTATGGGTTTCCATAGAGAAACCCGTTTTTCCCAGATGTGCATTTTTGAGTCCTTCACCCTTCCTTCATTGGTTATAATGTTGTCCTTCTCATATAACCAACTGCTCTCTGTGTCTGAGCATTTCTGGTCACTTTAGTCTGTGTTTTGACACTTGTCTTTATATATACCACACTATCATTATGACTGCAGCCTACTTAGAAATAGTGATACTTGGTAGAGCAAACACTTTCTTTCTGAGTTGTCTTGGCTGTTCTTGCACATGAACTTCTACACCTTCAATGCTAGATAAACCCTATCTATAAGCATCAGAAGAAGGAAGAAAGGAAGAAAATTCTGACTATTCATTCAACTTCTCTAAAGGCTATAAAACATCCATTTTTCTTCTTAAGCTAATTTAAAAATTATGTTTTCCTATAAAAATGCAAGCTTCATCTAAGTTTTCAAATTGATGCCATAAAACATAGGTATCTGACTAAAAAAAAACTAAAGAAAAAAACTTGTTCTAAGATTTCCTATAGGTTAGAATATATAACTTGTTATTTTTAGCTTTTATTCTTAAAATTGCATTTAAGATTATAAACTGCAGGGCACCAGTGGCTCACACCTGTCATCCTAGCTACTGGGGATGCTGAGATCTGAGGATCACAGTTCAAAGCTAGCCAGGGCAGGAAAGTCCATGAGACTTTTTTTTTTTTTGGTTGGTTGTGGGGCTTGAACTCTGGGCTTGAGTGCTGTCCCTGCGCTCTTCAGCTCAAGACATATGCTCTACCGCTTGAGCCACAGCACCACTTCTGGTTTTCTAATGGTTTATTGGAGATAAAAGTCTCACAGACTTTCCTGCCTGGGCTGGCTTTGAACCACGATCCTCAGATCTCAGCCTCCTGAGTAGCTAGGATTACAGGCATGAGCTACTGGCACCCAGCTATGTGTGACTTTTATCTCCAATTAACCAGTCAAAAACTGGAAGTGGCACTTGACTCAAAGTGGTAGAGCACTAGCCTTGAGCAAAAAAGGTCAAGGACAAAGCCCACACCCTGAGTACGAGCCCCATGACTGACAAAAAAATAAAAATAAAAAAATATATAAACGTAACTTTAAGTATTACCTCAACTCTATCCCAAAAGCTTTGATACTACCTTTCAGGTAGTACCAAATTTCTGTTGTGATTTCCTGTATACCATAATTCTTCCACTTACAATGGGAAGAATAGGGGTTTTCTTAATTGTCAATTTAATTAAATAGGCCAAGAATGTCTCTAAAGGAGAACAATTATTCACTATTTGGAAGAATTTCCTGCATGATATAACAAACATTAAATGTTCTGTACACCCCCAGGTAATGAATATTCTATTCACTACTTTCTGAATGTGACTTCTATATCAATTGGTTCATGTTCACTGTGTTCATGAACTCTTTTATACCCTTTCTAATATTGTGTTATCTTTACAATTGTGATTATTCTCTCCTGATTATTCTGTTTGGGTTGATATTAATATTACTATATCAGCTTTCTTTTGGTCACTGTTTAGTTTATAAAAACAAGTAGGGATCTCTCCCTTTATACTCTCTGAAGTAGTCTATGTAAAATTGGAATAACTTTTTATTAATTTTTATTGTTATTATAAAGGTGAGGTACAGAGGGGTTACAGTTTCATAAGTCAAGTAAAGAGTACATTTCTTTTTTGGGGGGGGGGTCCGGTCGTGGGGCCTGAACTCTGGGCCTGGGTGCTGTCCCTCAGCTCTTCAGCTCAAGGCTAGCGTTTTACCACTTGAGCCACAGCGCCACTTCCAGCTTTTTTCTTTTTGCTTATGTGATGCTGAGGAATCGAACCCAGGGCCTCAGGCATCCAAGACAAGCACTCTAACACTGAGCCGCCTTCCCAGCCCCCATGAATACATTTCTTTTAGGATAATATTACCCCTTCCCTCATTCTCTCCCAGTTTTTCCCTCCCTGGAATAACTTTTTAAACACTTAGAAGAGGCCAAGCATGGTGGCTCATGCCTGAAGTCTCAGCTACATAGAAAGTAAAAGGTGGTTGAGGCCAGTATAAGCAAAAGTTAGTGAGACCTTACCTTGACAAACAAGATGGACACTGATGACACCTGCCTGCAATCCAAGCTATACAGGGGCAGAGTGGGAGGACAGCCTTCCAAGGCCAACCTCAGGCAAAAAATGCAAGACCTATGGGCTGGGGATGTGATTCAATAAGTAAAACACTAGCTGGGCAAGCAAGCAGAACAAGTTCAGGTGCTCAGTTCAAACTCCAGTGTTGCCAAGAAATAAGTAATAGAGAATTTACTTATAAACTGTCTGCACTTGAGTTTTATTATGTGGGGTTTTTGTTTTTGATTTTGTTTCAATCCTCAGCCTCTAAAGTAGCCCAGGTCTCTATTTCTTCTCCAGTCAATGTAGATTTTCTTCTCAATCATCATTTTCCTATGCAAGAGGACTAGCAGCACCTTCAGCAGTCAGTCCACTCCAAGGCCTGACCAACATCGGCACTGGTCCGGCACCAGCTGCCTTTCCAGTCTCCTCCCTCTCTCCTCACCCTCAATTCAAGGGCTCAGTGCCTTCCCCAGAGCTCAGAGCAGCAGATCTGTGTGTGCATGCCTCTGAGGCCACGGAATGTGGACAACCAGCCTCTTTTCAGGTCGTGCCCCAGTGCCCAAGCCTCTTCTGTCACCTACTATGTGAGTCTGTTCCATTTCCGGTTGCCAGAGACTCTGCTCGGCACGCTGAGCTACTGTTATCCTGTTGCTGTGTTCAGAGTGGAGGGTATAGAAAGTCTAGTCAGACTTTACCCTAACTGTGACCTCCTCACAATGCTCAAGCCCTTCCTGGTAACACATACAGAAAACAGTCTAATGAGTGGCCCATCAACTCCCTCTACAACCACTGGTCCACTTACCGGGCCTTCCAACCTGGCCCAATCCTTAGACCCCACCTTTCATCACCATGCACATGTCAGGGCCCAGAACATGTTCCTCCCAATTTCCCTTCCCGGGCCCTGCAGGCCACAGAAAGAAGTACCCTCCCCGTCACAAAGACCTGCTCAGACCCGCTCCTCAGCCAGGTAAAACACTCTCTGCCAGGTCTTGGGATGGAACGTGTCCATATGTCTCCAGAGGTCCTATCGCCCACTAAGGGCTTGAATTCTGCAAGCCACCAACCTGATGAGCAACAGAGCTTTCTCTGCACCAATGGGAAAAAGGGGGAATGTAGTAGGCTGACTGGAGTCTGAGGCAGGAAAAAAAAAGGCAGATGCTCCAAAGGTTGAGGCCAAGAGAAACAAGTGATAAGCCCAGACCATGTAGATAGGAAGAGCAGAGCCTGCCTGCAGAGACAGAGCTGATCTCTACCAGGGAGGGGGACGGGGAAGGCAAGGGGAAGCGGACAGAGGGAGACGGGGAAGGCAAGGGGAAGCGGACAGTCACTAGAGCATGAGTGCAAATCGTTGGGGCTGAACTATTCTCCTGGCCATTCATCCAGTTCAGTTTGGACTTCTGGCTGAACAAGTCCCTCCCTTTGAGAGAAGAGAGCACAAAGGCCCTTCCTACCCCTTGACCCTCAGCCTCAGACAAAGTGTCCAAGAGAGTTTCATGAAGCAGAAATGCAAAGCATTACCTGATCGGTCGGGCTAGCCCTGGCAGCACAGCCCTGTAAAAGCACAAAGTGCCCAGCCAAGATCCCCAAAAGGAAACTGTCCAAGAAAAGGCAGCTCCCTATGAAGCCATCGTGGGCATGTATTTCAAAAGAGAAAAAGGGCACACAGGGGCCTGGGATACTACTGAGGGAAACTTAGGGAGAGCTTTGTGGTTTTGCTGTCAGTGGATAAAAGAGAAGTGATAGATTGGTGGCCTAGATAGAACCTAGTGGCTGACAGACAGACACTTGTGTCTCTGGTGAGCTTGCTCTGAACTTGCCCTATGCGAACGTCAGAGCACGGCCTTCCCCTGACACCTAGCCAGCCCAGGACCTGTCTAGGTTTGTGCTCCATTCTGTATAGTTCTGTGTGAATGCTTGGCGTCTGCCTGTGCTGAGGGCTAAGGAGTTGTCAGGGAGGTCTTCTCCAAAGTTGGGCAGAGAACAGGAAGGCTCACCTGGAAGACAGTGAGGATGGCAGCTGGAAAGGTGTCAAAGTTGGTTGTTGGAGTCTCATCTTGGAAGTTGAACCTAAGAAAAACAGTAAGTCTTGGGAAGAGGCAGCCCCACTGGAAGGAACCAGCCCCCACCCCCCCAATACACCCATTCCAGCCCCCACCCCCAATAAGCCCATTCCAGCCCCCACCCACCCCAATATGCCCATTCCAG